CTCCTCTCTCTCTCTCTCTCTCTCTCTCTCTCTCTCTCTCTCGCAGATGATCCAATCAAGTGAAGTCTCCCTCTCTCTCTCACCAAGTACTCCCTTTCCCTCTCTCTCACACAATTTGAATCAACTCTCTAATTACCCAAAAAAATCCAATCAACTCTCTCTCTCATACACAATCCAATAAAAAGAAAACTCTCTCACACAATCTGATCAACTCTCTCTCTCATACACAATCCAATAAAAAGAAAACTCTCACACAATCTGATCAACTCTCTCTCCTACACAATCCAATAAAAAGAAAACTCTCTCACACAATCTCATCAACTCTCTCATACACACAATCCAATAAAAAGAAAACTCACACTAACAATCTGATCAACTCTCTCTCGTTTTGTAATTTTAGTATCTCTCTCTCACACGATCTAATCAACTCTCCTCTCTCTCTCTCTCTCTCTTAATCTGATCAACTCTCTCTCTCTTGTAATTTTAGTATCTTTCTTTATGAGAAGATAAGTTTTGATGTCTACATGAATAATGTGGAATAAAGAAACTTTGGTAAGATGCCAGCATGGGGCATGAACAATGACTTCTAAGATATTGAGCTCCTCATATGGCCATATCACAGGAATCACACAAATTATTTTTGTCCAACAATGAACTTTTTAAACTCGAGAGGCTTCTCTCTACCAATCAAGGTTAAAAAATCCAGCCCTGCAATTATTCAACTGAAACTCACGAGAAGTTCCAAGCATGTCCCCTGCTTTCCTTTTTTTTTTCTTCTCTCACTCTCTCTCTCTCATATCGAGCTCCTCATACGTCATATCACAAAAATCAAACAAAATATTTATTGTCAAACGATGATAAAATGGAGAGATTAAAGCAGATGTCGTATATAGAATTAGAGCTGGGTGGACGATATGAAGATGCGCAACTGAAATTTTATGTGATCGCTGCATACCAATGAAGCTAAAGAGCAAGTTCTATAGGATAACCATAAGATAAACTTTGTTTTATGAGACGGAATGTTGAATGGATGAAAAACAATATACCCATAGAATGAATATAGCGGAGATGAAGATATTGAGATGGATGAGTGACAAGGCAAGAATGGATAGAATTTGAAATGAATCAATTTAGAAAAATTTAAGTGTGACACCAATAAGCAATAAGATGAGAGAGAGTAGACTTAATTGAGCTAGCCATGTATAACGTTGACCCAATACAACATTTGTTAGGAGGTACAAGTTAATTCAAATAAAAGAATTGAAAGAGCAAAAGATAGGCCCAAAAATACATGGTTAGAAGTAGTCCAAAAAGAAATGAAGATTTTTGGCCTCACTGAGAGTATGATCTTTAATAGAGCATAATGACATACCAGGATTCGTATAACTAACCCTAATTAATTGAAAAAAAATTGTGATGATGATGGTAATGATTAAACTCCCCAAAAGATCCAAGCATGTTCCCTGCGCGTGCATTCTCTCTCTCTCTCTCTCTCTCTCTCTTTTTTGAAGCAAAAACATACAAACACTCACAACACAATTGATGAGTTGATCAAAGTTGCCCACTGATTATGCATAATCTCAAAGTTTAATAATTAAACACGATGTATACAAGCCAAATTTTCAGCAAATGAAGCGAAAAATGGATCAAAATCAGCTGACATGTGTAAATTTTTACAATTACTGCAATTTATCTATTTTACTATATTTTTTTGGGTTTCTCAAGGATAAAAAGTGGCCCATTTCATAATTTTTTTACATGTTTGGACAAATTCATGCAACATATGTGCAGATGATATTGAAAAGGAACGCTCAAAGGCTATAAAGCAATAGATTGTGGGGAGCATTCAATAACCTCCATTCTCAAATGCCTCCAGATATTCTTACATTTTGCAATCTTCAACAGCATATGAGTAAGAAACTCCTGTGCCCAGGCCTCATTCCTACCTCCAGTGCTCAATTCGTAAGGAACTGTGAAACTGTTTTGGAGAGAGAGAGAGAGAGAGAGGAGGGAGGGG